GTGTGTGTGTGTGTGTGTGTGTGTGTGTGTGTGAGGGAGAGAGAGAGAGAAACAGAGAGAGGCCCTGCCTGGCAACAGCCGCTTAATATACTGCAGGTCAGTGTGGTCTTAACAGGTCTTAAGTAGTTATTGAATGTGAGAACGCTGCATAATCCTCTGTCATTCAAGGACCATCTGTTTAATTGCCTAATACAAAGGTATGGCGTCAAAGATTTACATTGAATTGAGACATATATGAAATTGTAGACATTATCTCTCCCTTGCATGTTATCAGTCATTTCTTTTAACCCTGATGTTTGTGCTTTCATTGACTTGGTCTGTTCAGGCTGTTTTCTGAATGTCTGATGCCAATGGTATGATTTTTTTTTCATCAGTAATGCTTCTCTTCTTAGGCGCTGGTTCTCCATTCAGAACAATCAGCTAGTTTACCAGAAGAAATACAAGGTATGCAGAATGCTTTCTTCCTCATTCTATAATTTTGAAATGCTGTTGCACTGCTAAAACATTATGAGCATTCACAGATGATCTCATAAAAACAGCACTTGTCAAAGTCTGGAATATATAAGACTGTAAGCAAACGGTCATTACTCGTAGTAGATGTGTTGGATTCAGATGAACTGAGCAGGAGTGACTAACAAGGGCCAAATAATTTTAGCCAGATGACTAGGTAGGAACATCTCTGAAATGTTATGGCTTGTGTGGTGCTTCTGGTCTGGCACAGTGAGAATCTATTGACAGTAGTCCATAGAGAGGAGAAGCATGAACCAGACACAGGGTGTTGGATGGCCAAGATTCATCGATGCGAGATGTGAATGAAGTCTATCCTGAGCTAACAGAAGGTCTACTGTGGCACAAATCATAGGTTATTTTAGTGATGGTCACAGAAGGAATGTGCTACGACACAGTGCATCACGCCCTGCTGCAAAAGGGACAGTGTAGCTGCAGGCTGGTTACAATGACCATGCTGACCCCTGTCCTCCATCTGAAGTGCCTACAATGGGCATGTGATAGTCTGAACTGGGAGAACTTAACTAATAGCTCAGAGTTGTTAAAATCTTATCTGATTTAAAGGACCCCAGGGTTTTAGCTTCCGCAACACTAGCAGGAAGACTATTCCATACTCTAACTGCACGCTGTGTAAAGAAGTGCTTTCTCAAATTTGTTTTAAAATGTTCTCCCGCTAATTTCCACTTAT